AAATATTTTATTTCCTATTAACCCTCGCCCCGTTGGGGGGGGGGGCATTTTGGCCCCCCCTGTGGTTTTTCCTGAATAGCAAGAAAACGGCGGCGCGCAGCGCCGCCAAATTTTCAGTACCTTCCCGGGCATCAATTTGACACCTTCACACCAAATTTCAAGTCTTAGGTCACCTTAGGTCAGGAGTTATTGAGGTCAAACTGAGGTCATGTTCGAGCAAAAATGAGCAAAAAACATGCAATCTTGAAACGCTCACCAAATCTACAGTTATCAAGCAATTTCAAAGTTCTTTATATGGTCTAGTAGACAAAAAGCGGCGCTACAAAACTGCAATCTCGGATTTTCAAAATTTTTGGTTTTTGACCAAAAAAAAAATCAAAAAATTGATTTTTTTAGAAAAACTTTGAAAAAATTCAAAAGATTTCCGAATTTCGAAAAACCGGAATATTAGTGATAGTCCCAGCGCTCTTCCATATACATACCAAATTTCAGATCGATATCTCGTTTTTTGGCCAAGTTATAGCGAAAAAACTTCAAAAATGATGACGTCAAATTTTTGAACTCAATTTTTAGCAATTCTAGACCACGTACGGCAAAACAAAGACCACCATTGAACTCCCCGTGACGAGCTGCATCGATTCGATACCCATTTTATGCAAAAATATTAACTTTGAAATTTGACCTAATTTGACCTGACCTTGACCTGACCTTGACCTGACCTTGACCTGACCTTGACCAAAACGTGATCTAAGCTGGCCCCAAAGGCTGCCTGACCCATATAATCGCATTTGTCATGTAAAATGGACCATAAAACATGTATCACACGACACTTTCATATTGTGACCCCCCCGTGACCTGACCTCTGTGACCTGACCTGGTATCAGTGACCTCAAATAGCAAAATATGTGTTTGAAGAACATTTCCCCATCGATGATTTTCAATGAAATGCATTTTACTCGATTTTACAACGCATTTCTTGAAGTGCCTGTAAACGGTGAAAATTGGACCTTTGACCTGACCTGTGACGTCATCGGTTTGACCTAGGTCAATAAAATTGGGTCACAAGGTAGTTCCCCGTTGGGGCTATCCAACGCCGTTTACCGCTTGTCGCTATGTTGCGTGGTTCTCGAGATCTTAGGGGGGGCCAAAATGGCCCCCCCCCCAACCGGGCGCGTTGCTCGGCAGAGCCCAACGGGGCGCGGGTTAACCCTCGCCCGCACATGGGAGGGGGGTGGTTGCCAACCCCCCCCCCCCAGGTAGTCTTTCTGCTCTGCACTCAACATTTTTAAAGCTAGAAGGCTGATTTTTTTGTATAGCTGCTCCTCTATCCTTTCTTGATGTCCACTGAAAATTTCAAGTTTCTGTGATTATTGGTTTCGGAGATATGACCTTGTTTTTCAGGTCATGTCATGACCCAAATGGCCCATTCTCAACATCTTTCGCTTGCCATGGGCCTTGTGAGCTTTTGACACCTTGATTTCGGCCTTTTTTGCCAGTCTTACCTCCCACCTATCATGGAACATGTTGTTCGACGATGTACAGGGGTCAAGGTCAGGGTCAAGGTCAACCTAGGTCATCTAAGATAATTGCGTTTTAGGCAAGCTGAATTTACTTTTTGTGAAGTTTTTTTTGACTGCATTTTTGGTAAAAGCTTCTCAGATCATGATTTCATGTAATATGGACCCAAAAACAATCGGTGCACACATCAGTATAAACACAGACACACACAGACATACAAACACATATAATTGACCTTGACCTAACTTGACCTGAAATGACCTCAGCAGCAAAATTCTGGTCGGGTAGTGTGACAAAGAGGTTCTAGCTGGCTTGGCACCAGAAAACAGCATCGTCATCGGTATTTGATAAGCAGCGCACTTGATATCCAACGGTGACCCAAAACAGCAATATTTTTTAGTTTGACCTGACCAGGAAGGTCAATGACTGACCTGAGAAGGTAAAACTGGGTATCATTGGATTCGTCTCTTCCCAAAGAATCTTTTTGGTCTTTACTGCTTAGCTCTATCTCCAACAGGAACGAAACGGCGCGGGGGGTGGCAACCCCCCCCCCCATGTGCGTTCTAGGATGGGAAAATAGCATGTGCGGGCGAGGGTTAACCCTCGCCCGCACATGCCATTTTCCCATCCTAGAACGCACATGGGGGGGGGGGGGCGGTTGCCACCCCCCCCCCGCGCCATTTCGTTCCTGTTGGAGATAGAGCTTAGCAGTAAAGACCAAAAAGATTCTTTGGGAAGAGACGAATCCAATGATACCCAGCTTTACCTTCTCAGGTCAGTCATTGACCTTCCAGGTCAGGTCAAACTAAAAATGTTGCTGTTTTGGGTCATCGTTGGATATCAAGTGTGCTGCTTATCAAATACCGATGACGATGCTGTTTTCTGGTGCCAAGCCAGCTAGAACCTCTTTGTCACACTACCCGACCAAAATTTTGCTGCTGAGGTCATTTCAGGTCAAGTTAGGTCAAGGTCAATTATATGTGTTTGTATGTCTGTGTGTGTCTGTGTGTATACTGATGTGTGCACCGATTGTTTTTGGGTCCATATTACATGAAATAATGATCTGAGAAGCTTTTACCAAAAATGCAGTCAAACAAACTTCAAAAAAGTAAATTCAGCTTGCTTAAAACGCAATTATCTTAGATGACCTAGGTTGACCTTGACCCTGACCTTGACCCCTGTACATCGTCGAACAGATACAGATACAGATGTGTATTCACGAATAATCCACAGTACACTGTGGCTTTTCATACTCGCACGTCGAACAACATGTTCCATGATAGGTGGGAGGTAAGACTGGCAAAAAAGGCCGAAATCAGGGTGTCAAAAGCTCATAAGGGCCATGGTAAACGCAAGATGTTGAGTATTGGCCATTTGGGTCATGACATGACCTGAAAAACAAGGTCATATCTCCAAAACCAAAAATTACAGAAACTTGAAATTTTCAGTGGACATCAAGAAAGGATAGAGGAGCAGCTATACGAAAAATCAGCCTTCTAGCTCTAAAAATGTTGAGTGCATAGCAGAAAGACTACCTGGGGGGGTGGCAACCACCCCCCCCCCCATGTGCGGGCGAGGGTTAACGAGTACAGCGAGCGACAGTGTGCCCGCCGATATCTTGTCTGTACTCACGGAGGCTGGTGGCGGGCTTGGTGCTGAGGCCGGTGGTACTGGTGGTGGTGATGGTAGATGACCTAAAAAAAGAATCAGCACACATTGAGTTCAAATTGTTCTTCAATGTAAGAAAAATATTGCGTTCACTTTTTTCTTAACACGTTTTGCGCTCATAAGCATTCCTAGTGGAATATTTGTTACAATATGATGTATGGTTGATCGATATAAAACTTAGTGATGATTAACCCGCGCCGGGCCTGTGCTCTGAGATTCCGCGCCGGGTCGCGGGGGTCTGAACACCCCCCTTCTAACTCGGCTCCTGGGCCACGTAGCGACACGCGGTAAGCGGCAATCGAAAGAACGTCCAAAATAAGGACGAAAACACTTCGGTCATTTTTGGGGTCAGGTCAAAGGTCAGGTCACCAGAGCTCACCAAAGGTAAAATGTTGACTATTTCAACATTTTGGAAACTTCCAACGGCTATCTCGGGAACCGATAGAGCTACAGCGCCGTGGAAAAGCGCATTCGATAGCCCTTTTACAGACCTTTCTGAGTAATGCTCTCAGATTTGACCTCAGGTCAACGGTTTAGCCTCCAGAGGGCAAAAACTCCAAAAATAGTCGTTTTTACGAAAAGCAATAGCTTTTGACTCAAAAGAGCCATGACATTACTTTTGCCAGCATCGTGTTCCTCGCGTCGAATGAATTATAATTTGACCTTGAAAGGTCAATTTAAAAATTTGACCTTAGGTCAAGGTCATGACCTGACCGGAAAAGGTCATGTTGCATATCAGTCGATCCCCAACGTCGAGCTGAACACATCTAAGGCGTTTTCAGCGCTCTAGCACGCCTTTATCAGAAGTTATTAGTGAAAAACTGTTCGATTCTGTAAGTGACCTGAGATGACCTCGGGGACATAAAGCGGGGTCACAGTTGCCATTTTCCGGTTCAGTGTGTCAATGTTATCTAATCTACATCTCGATGTATGAGGGTGTCTAGAATAGCGTTCGTGCAAAACAGACGCTTTTCAATTTTCTCCCGTTGACTTATAATGGAGAGGCCGCAAAATTGACCTGACCTTAGGTCACCGATATCGAAATTCCGAGATAGAAATTTTATAGATAAGGTTGCTCTAATTAATCGCTAAAAGTTTTGAGGCAATCGATCAATCGGTGTAGCTATGATGAACATTCTTATTTTTTATGAGGTGAGGTCACTTGGCGTGACCTGGTGACCTGACCTAAGACGACCTGGGTCTGAAATTTTAACAACATGTGCGGAAAAGATTCACGAACAGGTGTGCAAAAACGGCGGCGCTCCGCGCTGCCGTTTTTTAGATATCTGCAAAAAACCGCAAGGGGGTGTTCAAACACCCCTTTCTATTCTAGGCCCGGCGCAGGTTAACAAACTATGAATGTGTCTCAAACTTACGACTTAAATGAAAGATATTTGCTTTTATAGTCAATTTGTGATAAGATACTCACGGAGGCTGGTGGCGGGCTTGGTGCTGAGGCCGGTGGTGCTGGTGGTGGCGGGCATGGTGCTGAGGCCGGTGGTGCTGGTGGTGGCTTGGTGCTGAGACCGGTGGTGCTGGTGGTGGTGCTGGCAGATGACCTGAAAGGGAGATAATACAAATTGACCACAAACCGATAGAACTCCTATAAAATACAGTGGATTCAACTCTCAACGTGTCCTACGGTCAGAAAGGTCCTGACGGAATCCGTTATCATTGTTTTATGTATTATATCAATATTACTATTTGTTATTCCTATCGATCTGATTATGAAAAAAAATATGGACCACAAATCCTATGTAACATTGAGAGAAGAACAAGTTTTACGCTTCAGGTTGCATTCAACGATTACACACTCACAGAGGCTGGTGGAGGTCTTGATCCTGAGGCCGGTGGTGCTGGTGGTGGTGCTGGTGATGGTGACCGTGATGGTGACGGTGATGGTGGTGATGGCGGACCTGAAATAATATAAACCATTGAATCATTCTATATGACAGACGAAACGATCACCTTGTCATGCAGACAGAGCGGTAGCAATGTCTACGGCAAAATAAACAAAAATGTTCGGACAAGTACATTCAATACAAAAAGTATCGATAGCATATAGCAAGACCGTGAAATATATAACTGAAAAAATACATTCATGGTGTTTTTCATGCCAAGTAAAGGACTAGGTATTTATTGGTAAGATCAAAGAAGAGTCGGAACTGACAGTTTGGTAGACCAAAAAAATATCAATGTACCCAACGAAGACAATGGAAAAAATCAAATATTTCACTGGTTTTATTCTTATTTTTATTTTTAGTTTTTTATATTTTCTGCATCATTCAGCAACGCCAAATATTTTTTTTTCAGAGACAAGCAACAGGCAACAGTGGCCGCCGATATCACGTCTGTACTCACGGAGGCTGGTGGCGGGCCTGGTTCCGGAGCCGGTGGTGCTGGTGGTGGTGCTGGTAGATGGTGCTGGTGGTGGTGATGGTAGATGATCTGGAAAGCAGTCAGTAGGTTTTTAGATCAGCGTGTTATGCTCAGTAAGAACAAGCAGTAAGACAAACAGAGGAATTTGGTCAAAATTAGAACGATTGGAAAAAAACTTTTGAGTATTACATGTTCATTGCCATTTTATGATTCGACACTTACGGACACGCTGGTGACGGGTTTGATCCCGGAGCCGGTGGTGCTGGTGCTGGTGGTGGTGCTGGTAGATGGTGCTGGTGGTGGTGATGGTAGATGATCTGAAAGCAGTCAGTAGGTTTTTAGATCAGCGTGTTACACACTGTAAGAACAAACAGTAAGACAAACTGAGGAAATTGGTCAAAATTATGACGATTGGAAAAAGGTTTTGAGTTTTCCATGTTCATTGTCATTTTATGATTTGACACTTACGGACATGCTGGTGACGGGTTTGTTCCCGGAGCCGGTGGTGCTGGTGATGGTGATGGTGATGGTGATGGTGATGGTGATGGCCATGCTGGAGACGGTGGTGATGGTGGAGCTGAAATACAAGGCGCTAGTTATTAATGTGGTCTTTGATGTTTATATCTTAGATACAGCGCTAAAGAAGCGAAATCACAACCACAAATATTTTGAGTTAGCAGACAAATTGTAAAAATGACAATATTAATTGTCTTATAAAGTATAATAGCTGTGTTATCATTTCCGGTAACTCTAAGTCAATGGCAGTTCACTTGATAGTGGTTTCGGAAGCCGTGAAGCTGGACCCGACTGCCGCGGGTGTACTCACGCCTGCCGGTGGTGCTGGTGGTGCTGTCACTGCTGGTGATGGTGACGTCTGTGGTGATCTGAAACACCAGTGTCCAGTTTTAGGTCCCCTGATATTGACAGCCACACCCGCCGCGTCGCTACCGCTATCCCACACCGGGTCTGACAGTGGTGTGACGTCACTCCCACACCCGCCGTGTCGCTACCGCTATCCCACGCCGGGTCTGACAGTGGTGTGACGTCACTCCCACACCCGCCGTGTCGCTACCGCTATCCCACACCGGGTCTGACAGTGGTGTGACGTCACTCCCACACCCGCCGTGTCGCTACCGCTATCCCACACCGGGTCTGACAGTGGTGTGACGTCACTCCCACACCCGCCGTGTCGCTACCGCTATCCCCCACCGGGTCTGACAGTGGTGTGACGTCACTCCCACACCCGCCGTGTCGCTACCGCTATCCCCCACCGGGTCTGACAGTGGTGTGACGTCACTCCCACACCCGCCGTGTCGCTACCGCTATCCCACACCGGGTCTGACAGTGGTGTGACGTCACTCCCACACCCGCCGTGTCGCTACCGCTATCCCACACCGGGTCTGACAGTGGTGTGACGTCACTCCCACACCCGCCGTGTCGCTACCGCTCCCACACCGGGTCTGACAGTGGTGTGACGTCACTCCCACACCCGAACTGCTGGTCCGACCGAGTAAACAGCCAGGTCCGGACCGGCCATTCAGTATCGCTCTGCCCGCCACAGAGACTGACCAACAAATAACACGTCATTTACCGTATACCGTATGTTTCAGAGCCTATACTCACGGGGCGGTCAGTGTCCATGGCGCCGCTCAGTGACTGACCAACAAATAACACGTCATTTACCGTATACCGTTTGTTTCAGAGCCTGTACTCACGGGGCGGTCAGTGTCCATGGCGCCGCTCAGTGACTGACCAACAAATAACACGTCATTTACCGCATACCGTTTGTTTCAGAGCCTATACTCACGGGGCGGTCAGTGTCCATGGCGCCGCTCAGTGACTGACCAACTAATAACACGTCATTTACCGTATACCGTTTGTTTCAGAGCCTATACTCACGGGGCGGTCAGTGTCCATGGCGCCGCTCAGTGACTGACCAACAAATAACACGTCATTTACCGCATACCGTTTGTTTCAGAGCCTATACCTACTCACGGGGCGGTCAGTGTCCATGGCGCCGCTCAGTGACTGACCAACTAATAACACGTCATTTACCGTATACCGTTTGTTTCAGAGCCTATACTCACGGGGCGGTCAGTGTCCATGCCGCCGCTCAGAGACTGACCAACAAATATCACGTCATTTACCGCATACCGTTTGTTTCAGAGCCTATACTCACGGGGCGGTCAGTGTCCATGGCGCCGCTCAGTGACTGACCAACAAATAGCACGTCATTTACCGCATACCGTTTGTTTCAGAGCCTATACTCACGGGGCGGTCAGTGTCCATGGCGCCGCTCAGTGACTGACCAACTAATAACACGTCATTTACCGTATACCGTTTGTTTCAGAGCCTATACTCACGGGGCGGTCTGTGTCCATGGCGCCACTGTGACTGACCAACAAATAGCACGTCATTTACCGCATACCGTTTGTTTCAGAGCCTATACTCACGGGGCGGTCAGTGTCCATGGCGCCGCTCAGTGACTGACCAACAAAAAACACGTCATTTACCGTATACCGTATGTTTCAGAGCCTATACTCACGGCGGTCAGTGTCCATGGCGCCGCTCAGTGACTGACCAACTAATAACACGTCATTTACCGTATACCGTTTGTTTCAGAGCCTATACTCACGGGGCGGTCAGTGTCCATGGCGCCACTGTGACTGACCAACAAATAACACGTCATTTACCGCATACCGTTTGTTTCAGAGCCTATACTCACGGCGGTCAGTGTCCATGGCGCCGCTCAGTGACTGACCAACTAATAACACGTCATTTACCGCATACCGTTTGTTTCAGAGCCTATACTCATGGGGCGGTCAGTGTCCATGGCGCCGCTCAGTGACTGACCAACTAATAACACGTCATTTACCGCATACCGTATGTTTCAGAGCCTATACTCACGGGGCGGTCAGTGTCCATGGCGCCGCTCAGTGACTGACCAACTAATAACACGTCATTTACCGTATACCGTTTGTTTCAGAGCCTATATACTCACGGGGCGGTCAATGTCCATGGCGCCGCTCAGTGACTGACCAACAAATAACACGTCATTTACCGTATACCGTTTGTTTCAGAGCCTATACTCACGGGGCGGTCAGTGTCCATGGCGCCGCTCAGTGACTGACCAACTAATAACACGTCATTTACCGTATACCGTTTGTTTCAGAGCCTATACTCACGGGGCGGTCAGTGTCCATGGCGCCGCTCAGTGACTGACCAACTAATAACACGTCATTTACCGTATACCGTTTGTTTCAGAGCCTATACTCACGGCGGTCAATGTCCATGGCGCCGCTCAGTGACTGACCAACAAATAACACGTCATTTACCGCATACCGTTTGTTTCAGAGCCTATACTCACGGCGGTCAGTGTCCATGGCGCCGCTCAGTGACTGACCAACAAATAACACGTCATTTACCGCATACCGTTTGTTTCAGAGCCTATACTCACGGGGCGGTCAGTGTCCATGGCGCCGCTCAGTGACTGACCAACTAATAACACGTCATTTACCGCATACCGTATGTTTCAGAGCCTATACTCACGGCGGTCAGTGTCCATGGTGCCTCCCCTGGCCGTGACGCCGGCGGCTGAGGCGCCGCTCCAGATCCTTCCTCTCCTGGCGGTGTCGGCTCTCCTGCTCCTCCAGCTCCTGGCGGTGTCGTTCACTGAGCTGAAGCTGCTGTCGGCGGTGTCTTTCGCTCGCCTCGAACAGCCTCTGACTGAGACGCCGATCTTGCCGCTCCTCGTCAGATTCTGCAGCAGATCAGGGCCAATACAATTCACGTCGTTGAACAAGCTGGCCAGAGAAGGACAGGGAGACTATGAGTTCTTGGACTGATGGCAGATAAAAAAAAAATAGTAGCGAACAGAGTCAGAGACATCCCTTAGGGCAAAGGGACAGAGAAAAAAGAGGGACAAAGACGATTCTGACACAGATCAAACGTATGTAGAAATATTTAAAGATAAATACCTTAGGCTCTCGTAAAGATAAAATGTGTATTTATTTTGTAAATGTAGAAAATGAGGACTCAGTACATAAGAAAAAATTAGCTCAATTCGGCCAGCTTTCGAAAAGTATTTACAAAACGTTGTGAGGGTGTCTCAATAAGGTTCGGGTCAAACAAATCACCAGTTTTCTCTCCCACGTAAATAGCGTGGTTGCTCAGAAAGCGTTTGACGTCTGATTGTTTCAATGTAAATTCGTTCACCATCTGAGTTCTAAGCCTGCCGCTAACCTTCCTCGTTGGGGTGTCTCTGCTCCAGCTCTCGTGGCTGTCTCTGGTGTCTCTGTTCTAGCTCTCGTGACTCTCTCTGGTGTCTGAGCTCCAGCTCTCGACACTGCTGCTGCAAGGTCTGCTGGAGGTCTTCCCACTGCTGCTGGTGGCAGCGGTCCAGCTGCCTTATTTGGTCCTCATTTGGCATGTTGATGCATCTGGTGTCCCCCCTGTGCTGCTGATGAAGCTCAATGCGCTCCTCATAGTGACGTTCGTCCAGCTCCTGCCACTCCTTGCCGTGCTCCTGCTCCTGCTGCCGACGCTCCTCTGCGTGTTTCTTGTTCAGATCGCTGCGACTGTGTGCGGCCCCTCGCGGTTCCAGCTGCTGACATCGCCCTTGGCTTGGGCGAGGAGGACCATCTGATGGCCGCTCCTCCTCATCGCAGTGCTGCTCCTCGTCTTCGATCTCTCCGTCGCGGTCACCATGCGGCGAGTCTGGAACACAGCAGATCAGGCAGAAGTCATATGCTGGGAGGACGGTCGATAGGCGACCAAATCGAAATAAAACTGGATCACTATTCATAGTACAATGTAAAAGAACTTGTGTTATGGCATGCCATTTATCAGCATGGGCAACAGAGTTGCAAAATCTAGTTACTTCGCTCAACATTTTTTTATGCATTTGTTTTTACGATTCGTTACGATTTGCTCAAATAGTGATTTTTTTATTTTTACGATTTATTCCAATAATGAACACTGCATCGTGCATCACGGTGATAATGTAACAAATAAGACACTGACTCGCGGTACTGTACCTACAGGACTAAAACTGTTCAGTATCAGCGTCATTACTATCGCCATCTAGCCCATGATGTTTGATAAGAACACAGGACGGCAGTCGGTGGACACTGGACAGGGTACCTACTTAGAGTGGTCGGGTTTAGTTTTTTAACCCGCGCGGGGCTGGGGTCTCCAGCCGAACGCGCGGGGCTGGGGGGGGGGGGGGTAAATTTTACCCCCCCTGTTATCTCCCGAACTAATGGTCCGATTTGGAAAATTCAAACGCCAATCGAAAGCTCTCATCACGAACTACTAAAAACATGTACTTAATTTAAAGTTTGAGGTCAAGGTCAAGGTCAGGTCAAGGGTACAAATTGCAAGTTTCTACAGTATCGGCCTTGCACCGTAGTTGCCGAAGAATGGAGTCATGGACTGAGACTGATCGCCCAAAACGTGTTCTTAGGCTACCAAGACAATATTCGTTGCATACAATATCATTCAGAGGTCAAGGTCAAGGTCAGGTCAGGTCAGGTCAGGTCACCAAAAAACAAAATATAGAAAAGGGCATGTGCGACACATGTTTTATGGGTCATTTTACTCATAGAATTCAATAGGCACACTCAATAAGTGATATGGACCACCTCTGGATGAATTTCAGGTCGAGGTCAGGTCAAGGTCAGGTCAAGTGAGGTCAAATTTTGAAGTTGGTTGTTAAGGCCTAAAAAGGTGTCTATCTGATGCAGTTTTTCACGGCGAATCGAATGGTGCTATTTTTGTTTCCGTACGAGGTCTAGAACTTCCAAAAAAGTCATTTTTCGAAAATTTTGTGTGTCGTGACGTCATAAAATTTTGAATAACTCCCACATTTTTGAACCGATTCTTCTAAAATTTGGTATGTAGGTGCACATAGACCACTTCTCTGACATATATTCCGGTTTTTTCGATAGACTCAAAATTTTGGATTTTATAATGATTTTCCCAAAAAAATCAGTTTTTTGAAAAAATTTAGGCCAAAATCCAAAATTTTCAAAAACCGAGATAGCCATTTGATAGACAAAGTAAAATTACGTATAACCTTTTTTGTTACGTCTTGATTCCTTTAAAAATGAAGATGTTAGCGGCGTTTGAACTTTTGCCGTTTTTGAGGCGAAAATGGCGAACATGACGTCACTAAAACGTCAATTTCTCAAAAATTTTCTGACGGATTTCGCTCAAATTTTCAGGGAACGTGTCAAATTGATGTAAGAAAAGGTACTGAAAGTTTGGCGGCGCTGCGCGCCGCCGTTTTTGAGATATCGCAAAAATTCGCGAGGGGGGGTAAAATTTACCCCCCCCCAGCCCCGCGCGGGTTAACCTTCGCCCCAGTGGGGGGGGCATATGTTACCACCTTGTCACGTTTTTTGCGTGTAAATAAAAAATCACGGGGCGTGCCGCTTGGGGTAGCTTTTGGTACATCAATTTTGGACAATGTGTGAAATTTTTGACCCCAGGTCATGTCAGGTCAGGTCACCAGGTCAAGTTAACTGACCAAGCCTAAAAAAGTATGCGATCATGTCCAACCTGCAGTGTTTATCAGAAAGGTTTCAAACTTGGTGGATTGCATGATGTCATAGATGCCTACAATTTGTATATCTCGGATTTTTTATATATGTGACCTAAGGTCAGGTCAGTGTCGTGACCTTACCATTATAAGGCATTGGAGGAAAATGAAAATGTCTCTAGATCCGTGTGTACGCATAGGAACAGTCCAAATATTTCAGAATCACAATGATTTGGACCACCCGTGATGACCAAGGTGTCATTTTTGCTGATAGCCTCTAGAAAGGTCATCCGAGGTCATTTGAGGCTACAAACAGATTTTTGCCAATAACTCTCGATTGGAAAGAGATAGATCGCTGGGGATGGCCTCATTGTGTTTGTCTTGCCGAGACGCATCGATTGATATGCAACATGACCTTTTCCGGTCAGGTCATGACCTTGACCTGAGGTCAAATTTTCAAGTTGACCTTTGAAGGTCAAATTATAGATCATTCGACGCGTCTCGGCGAGAGGAACACGATTCTGGCAATAGAAATGTCGTGGCTTTTTTTTAGTCGAAAGTTATTGTCGAAAAACACTTTTCGTAAAAACAGCTATTTTTGGAGTTTTTGCCCTCTGGAGGCTAAACCGTTGACCTGAGGTCAATTTTGATGATAACCTTTTCATAAGAATATTTCAAAAGCTATCGATTGCTTTTCCATTCGTTTTTCTAGCTATCATAGTTCCTGAGATAAATGCATGTTTTCTGAGAAATATAATGACATTTGGCAAATTTTGACCTTTGATGACCTCCAGTGACCCCAATATTGTTCTAAGATGAAAATGAGCCAAGTACTTTCAAACGTACGCATTGAGAGCTATCGACTGCTTTTTACCGCGTCTTCCTAGCCCTCTTAGTTTTTGAGTTAGAGGTGGGTGGTAACATATGCCCCCCCCCCCCACTAGGGCAAAGTTGGCTGAGACCGCCACTGGGGCGGGGGTTAACCCTCGCCCACGCATGCCATTTTTCCAAAGTAGAGCGCACATGGGGGGGATGCTATACCCCCGCGCCATTTCGTTCCTGCTGGAGATAGAGCTCCGCGGTAAAAACCAACAGATTTCTTTGGAAGAGACAAATCCAATGGTATCCAATTTTACCTCAATGTGTAGTCATTGACGTTTCAGGTCAGGTCAAACTAAAAAATGTTGCTGTATGGGGTCACCGTTGGATCACGTGCGGTGCAGTGCCCATCATATACCGATGATGCTGCAGTATTGGTGCCAAGCCAGCTAGAACAGCTCTTTGTCACACTATCCGACTAAGTTTTTGCTGACTGGGGTCATTTCAGGTCAGGTTAGGTAAGGGTCAATGTTTTGTGTTTGTATTTCTGTGTTTGTGTCTGTGTATAGTGATGTGTGCACCGATTGGTTTGTGTGTCCCTGTTACATGAGATCATGAATTGAGAAGCTTTTACCAAAAATGCAGTCAAAGAAACTTAACGAAAAGTAAATTCAGCTTGCCTAAAACGCAATGTTTAAGATGACCTAGGTTCACCTTGAACCTGACCCTGACATCTTTACATCGTTTCATTGACCTTTGGTGACCTCGGTTCACTTTTCAAATTTTACATGCCTCAAGGCCAGTTTTTGGAGCTGAATTCGAATTTAGCAACCATATGAAGATTTACAAAGTAGTTTTGGTGCCTTCGTTACATGTTATGAAGCTGTCAGAGGCGGTTGACACCTACAACGAATACCCGGCAGAACCCCTACTGATTGACCTGACCTGACCTGACCCGACCAGGCCTAAATGCATGAAGACATTATCTTTGATTAAAAACTAACAGGATATTCGTGATCAGCACCCCGAATAACCCAGAGTAGCCACATTTTACGACGTTCTAACAGGTCCCGATTTTTCCGACTTTTGGGTCATTGACCTGACCTGGAAGGTCAAACAATGACCTAGGACCTTTAACCCGGCCGGGCCCGGGGGTAATCCCAACCACCGCAGCCCGGGGGGGGGGGCGTTTTTCGCCCCCCTGTCTAACTCCGTAAATAAAGGAGCTACGGAAACGAAAGCGATACCAAACGAAAGGTCCTTACGAGACGATTCTAATGCACCCAAAATTTTTGACCTCAGGTCAATTTTCAAGGTCAGAGGTCAAGGTCAAAGGCCAAAACCGGCACATGTGTAGTGATCTCAAAGTAAGCATTCTAGAGGACGGCAGGCTGCATCAAACCGGCAAAATTGGGTGTCAAACGAAAGAAGAGAATCTGAGGATTCTGAAAATGTGCTCCAAATTAAAGGTCAAGGTCAAGGTCACGCTCAAAATTGACCTCAAACTTGGCACTTTTTCGTACATCTTGCGTGCCAACTTCCAAGATGTTTTGAAATGTTTTGAGGCTTATCAGTTCCCTATTTTTGGTTCACCTTACAATACAAGGCTGCTCAAAGGTCAAGGTCACAGAAGAGTATCCCTGCTAGAGGCTATTTCACTGATTCAAGTAAGTAATAATAAATAAGACAATTTTGCCATCCGGAAGCTCTAAATGAAGGCTTAGAGGAAAATAGATGCCAGATTTGTGATCAGCGGGTACAAATCCATCATAAACGACCTTTCATGTGTCAAGGTCAACCAGAGGTCATTCGAGGTCACATGAGGTCAACATGAAACTTGACCTTTTCCGAACAAAATATATATCATTCGACGCGGCTTGACAAGGCGAATGCGATGGTACCACTGCCGTAGCTCTAGGACCATTTTTGTCGAAGTTATTTGCGAAAAACTAAAACCACATTTCGGGGTCGTTGACCTGACCTCTGACCTCAGGTCACCGAAACTATTTTTCTATTTTTCTCTAGGTCAAACGCTACACAGCCGTGCTCGTAATTTGTCTTTATCTCTAAAACTCTATTTTTAGCAGCTATTTGAAGTTTGCGTCTGTGACGCCGAAGTTTGCCGTGCAGGGGTCTAGAAAAATGGACCTTGTGACGTCATCAAGGGGGCTAGGTCCAAATTTTTTACTTCAGAAGATGTCAAATTGATGGGAAAAAAGGTACTGAAAGTTTCGCCTTGCTACCCCTAAGCGTTCGTGAGTTATCGCAAATATTCGGAAGGGGGGGGGGGGGCGAAAAACGCCCCCCCGGGCCCGCGAGGGTTAAGTTGGGTATGATTGGCTTCCTCTCGTCACATGCAATACCCTCGTTTTTCCGCGACGCTCTAGCTTGATCAGGGGCGAAACGGCAAGGGTTGGGTCCAACGGACCTCCCCCATTTTACGTTCGCGGCTGGAAAAACACCAATACGGGCGAGGGTTAACCCGCGCCGGGCCGGGGGGGGGGTGTTTGAACACCCCCCCCCTGCGGTTTTTCGCAGATATCTCAAAAACGGCGGCGCTCCGCGCCGCCGTCTTTGGCACACCTGTTCGTGCATCTTTTCCGCACATGTTGTGAAAATTTCAGACCCAGGTCGCCTTAGGTCAGGTCACCAGGTCACGCCAAGTGACCTCACCTCAGAAAAAAATAAGAATGCTCTTCATAGCTACACCGATTGATCGATTGCCTTGAAACTTTCAGCGATTGATTAGAGCAACAGTATCTATAAAATGTATATCTCGGAATTTTGATATCGGTGACCTAAGGTCAGTTCAATTTTGCGGCCTCTCCATTATAAGTCAATGGGAGAAAATTGAAAAGCGTCTGTTTTGCACGAACGTCATTCTAGACACTCTCAAGCATCGAGATGTAGGTAATATTGACACACTGAACCGGAAAATGGCAACTCTGACCCCTTGTTATGTCCCCGAGGTCATCTCAGGTCACGAACAGAATCTAACAGTTTTTCGCTAATAACTTCTGATAGAGGCAAAATAGAGCGCTAAAAACACCTTAGATGTGTTCGGCTCGACGTTGCGGATCGACTGATATGCAACATGACCTTTTCCGGTCAGGTCATGACCTTGACCTGAGGTCAAATTTTCAAGTTGACCTTTCAAGGTCAAATTATAGTTCATTCGACGCGTCTCGACGAGAGGAACACGATGCTGGCAAAAGTAATGTCATGGCTCTTTTGAGTCAAAAGTTATCGCCGAAAAAACGCTTTTCGTAAAAACGGCTATTTTTGGAGTTTTTGTCCTCTGGAGGCAAAACCGTTGACCTGAGGTCAAATCTGAGAACATTAATCAGAAAGGCCTGTAAAAGGGCTATCGAATGCGCTTCTCCGCGGCGCTGTAGCTCTATCGGCTCCCGAGATAGCCGTGGGCAGTTTCCAAAATGTTGAAATAGTCAACATTTTACATTTGGTGACCTCTGGTGACCTGACCTTTGACCTGACCCAAAAAATGACCGAAGTGTTTTCGTCCTTATTTTGGACGTTCTTTCGATTGCAGCTTACCGCGTGTCGCTACGTGGCCCAGGAGCCGAGTTAGAAGGGGGGGGGTGTTCAGACACCCCCCCCCCCGGCCCGGCGCGGAATCTCAGAGCACCGGCCAGGCGCGGGTTAAACGGTGAATGAAATTTGGTCACAAGGTAGTTCTCCGCTGGGGCTACGACCTACAGGGCCGTCATGTCATTGGAGAGCACTACCATGCTCCGCTTTGCGAGTAGTCAGGGCACTTTTAATGAGTGATATCGACTGATGTCAGCCAGCACTCTTTGCTACTTACTTTCTGTGATCGCGTCTGGTGTATGTGTATGTATGCTGGGAGGGGATTGTATGTGTGTAGGGGGACGGCAGTGCGGGTTGAATGCCTGAGGGGGTGGGATGGGAAATTAGATTTTATTGCGACTGCAGCCTTAACCCTCGCGGGCCCGGGGGGCGTTTTTCGCCCCCCCCCTGGCGAATATTTGCGATAGCTCCCGAACGCTTAGGGATAGGAAAGCGAAACTTTCAGTACCTTTTGTCCCATCAATTTGACATCTTCTGAAGTAAAAAATTTGGACCTAGCCCCCTTGATGACGTCACAAGGTCCATTTTTCTAGACCCCTGCACGGCAAACTTCGGCGTCACAGACGCAAACTTCAAATAGCTGCTAAAAATAGAGTTTTAGAGATAAAGACAAATTACGAGTTCGGTTGTGTAGCGTTTGACCTAGAGAAAAATAGAAAAATAGTTTTGGTGACCTGAGGTCAGAGGTCAGGTCAACGACCCCGAATGTGGTTTTAGTTTTTCGCAAAT